AAGGGGGGGGGGGGGGGGCAGAGGAGGTTGGACGACAGGGTCCAGCCTCCGGATTCGAAGTACTTGCGAAAAAGAAAAGACACAAAATGTTTTGTGCGTGTGACTTCGAATAGCATCGACCGCGGTCAATCAGCGTACCAGTGTTTGTGTGTGTGCCCATACCTGCACAGCTGTGCGGTCATAGCATGATTTTGCGACGTGATCCCTAGCAAACCTCGTTGGTCCTGGATGATGCCAAGTTTCATCTTGCGACTTTGGTTGGTAATGGCACACACCCAACGCGTTAGCCAATACCAAGATCAGTTCTCCCTCTCTCGCCTGTGCCCTCTCAAGCAGGCTCGTTTCCCCCCCCTCCGTTGTGTCTTACACCACGCCCCCGCTGGCTCCCGCGCTTTCGGTCCTATTGAAAACTAAACCTCCCCAGAGTGGGCCAGAGCCCCGCGTCGGTGCGGATGCTAACCAAGGATGGCTTCGGAGTCGTCGTCCAATCTGGGGCAGGTGCTGCCGCCAGGTGTGTCTCGCCTCAGCGCGGGGGTAGAGTATTATAGCGTACCTTTTTTCTTGTCTTCAATCGGTCGCCTTTTTCCAAGACAGCAGTAGTAGAGGGGCCGTCTGGCTGGGCCTCAGGCTATAATTTTTGCTGGATTGTTCTAGTACCTCGCTTTGGGGTAGTTGGCCTGTGGCCACGGGAGGCGTCCGAGTCAGTTTGGACAGGTATCGATGCCGGAAGGTACTGAGCACAGAACGGAACGGTCATGGTTATGTGAAGACAAGAACAACAAACATTGGTCCTTTTTAGTTGTTATCTTGGAATGTATTATAAAAGTCCCTGATAGAGCGACCACCGCCGTGTTTTCGATCCTTTGCCGTGTCGACACGCGGCAGGCGGTCGTCGTATTTCTCCTCGCAATTAATTTTATCCACGTTTACGTCACACACGACCAGCGAGGATCGCCTTCGCAAGATTAGTAATTTTATGAGGAAATAGAACAGAGGGAGGGGGGGGACGCAGACCCTATTTATTCCCTAACCCTTTCCCTAACCCAACTTCCCCGATTGTATGCTTTATCCAACATGTTTAATTAACAGAAAAAGCCTGCGAAGGTTACTGACCAGCTCCTTTTTCCTTTTTTCTTCATTTTATTTTCTTCTCAGCTTCACGGACGAGGCGTACGAGGAGGCCGGCGCTACCGTGGTGAAGGGCAGCGAGGCTTGGAAGGCCGATATAGTCGTCAAGGCAAGGACTGAGCTACCGTCACGTAAATAACGCTCCGTTGTGGAAACAAATAGGGGGGGTGCCCTGCGTAGAAATGGCAACAGCAGGAACGGCAGGCGCCATGGACAAACCGCGAACCAGAAGAACGCCTCCGATGCTGGGTTCAGCGGCCCTGTCGGGCAGCAGCACTCGTACATGAACTAGTTTGGAAGCGTGCTGCCCGTTTTACGGTTCAGCCTTGGGTGACGAGGAGGGCGTGGAGTGCAGGATAAGACCACAGTCTCAAACGCGGCGGCAATTGTGTGTGTTGATCAAGAATGCCATGGTTGTATTCACCGTAGTAGCAGGGGGACGGAGAAGCAATCTGTTATGGATTTTCTTCAGCCGAAAAGCTCTGCCTGCCTGTACGTCTCATTTTCTCTATCTCTCTCCCTCCTCTGCACACACGCACCGACGTGGTTGTGTTTGGTCACCCGGTTAACGAGATCTATGCCAGCTGACGGAAGCACGCGAACGCGCACATTACACGCACACACCCTCTCTACGAACGGACTCTTCGGCGGGAGGCTTCAAATGTTTGCCTCCTCCTCTTCCTTCTCCCCCGCCTAGGTTGAACCCCCTACCCCCGAGGAGGCCGCCCTTGTCGAGGCCCGCACGCTCATCAGCCTGCTGTTCCCCGCTCAGAGCGGAGACCTCGTTAAGCAGCTGGAGGGGCAGGGGGCCACCGTGATGGCCATGGACTGCATCCCGAGGACCCTTTCGCGAGGGCAGACTTACGATGCTCTCAGCTCGCAGGTACGTGTGTATTGCTGTACGACTGACACGTTGTTCTGTTTTTGTGCGCGGAGATTGATGCCGAAGCGTCGTCTCTTTTTTTGCACTTTCTTTGTGTGTTCGTGGTCATCTGCAGCTTCAGCTTTGCTACCGGAGTTTCTCGCTGGGGGGGGGGGGCAAGGTGTACTCAAACGTTGCTTGCTTTCGTTTGTTGGTCCGCAGAGCGATTTATTTCCTATACGTGCTCCTGTGGGAAACACTGCTTGCGGCTGTTCCTTCTCCTTTGTGCGTCCACACCCGCCCTCCAAAACCCGTCGATTTTGTACTCGATCTGTTTTTCTTCCTCTCTTCCGCCGCGCGAATCTTAAATCTTTCCCCCCCCGACCCCTTCCTTCTCCCGTACGCATCGTTCTCAAGGTATCAAACCGTCCCGGTCTCTAGGGCTAGAATACCACCCCCCATTTCAGCGGTGTAAACGTGTTTCCCACCCCTCTTCTCTGGATTTCCCCTGCCTGTAGTCTCTCGCTTGGCATCTCCACGTCTTGTTTTTTTTAGGTCACGGGGACGCATACCTTTATTTGTCCCGCTGCCACCGCTGCTTGCTTCCCTCCCCTCTGTGTTTCGCTCGACGGCGCGGTTTGTTGTGCGGTAGGCGAACATTGCCGGGTACCGGGCCGTTATCGAGGCCGCCCACGAGTTCGGCCGCCTGCTGTGCGGCCAGATGACTGCCGCCGGAAACGTCAAGCCCGCCAAGGTAGGAATGCATTGTAACCAGGATAAAACATGTGGTTACGTGTGTTTTGTTTTTTTGTGTTGTTTGTTTCTTCAGTTTTGGTGACGCAACCTGTATACTGTGGGGCGAACTCTGTAAAGGTACATTTTCAGAGAACAGTAATGGGGGAGGAACTACGGCCCGAGCACCCGCTATCTGTGTGGTTCAAGAAACGCCGGGGCTTCCACGCCTGACACCGAAACGAAAACACATCGGGCAGTGAATGACGAGCTTTACTCTTTTATCCTCTCGCTGAACCGCCCGGAGCCTCCCGCACATCGTCTGTCTACGCCCGGGCACTATCTGTCTCACCGCATTCATTTTTATTGTTCTTTGTTTTGAACGGGCCCATGTATGTGCCACCGTTCTAGCTTCTGATGCTAGTGCTGCTGCTGTCGGTGACGGTGTTGCTTTTCTTCCGATGCCCTCAGGTGCTCGTGGTGGGTGCTGGCGTGGCCGGGCTGGCCGCCATCGCGCAGGCTAAGGCTATGGGGGCCGTGGTGAGGGCTTACGACGTCAGGCCCGTGGTGCGGGAGCAGATCGAGTCGCTCGGCGCCGAGTTCCTGCAGGTGATTTCATGTTGTTGTCGGTGTTGTTGTTGTTGTTGTTGTAGTAGTTGCTGTTGTTGTTGCCGTGGCCGCCGTTGTTGTCATGGTGTTGTTGCTGCTGTCATTGTTGGGCTTCTGGTAGTGTCGGTCCTGTTCGAGTTGGAGGGCAATCCGCTCTCATTAGAAACGCAATCGCAGCATTGAAAAACAAAGCTCGTTGAGTTGAATGGGCAGCTACAGGTTGAAGACTAAAGGACGTGCGCGTACATACATGCGGCGCTTGAAAATGCATTTAGGTGGAGTATGAGGAGGACGGAAGCGGCGCAGGAGGGTACGCCAAGGAGATGAGCGATGGCTGGAAGGAGGTGAGACCCGAAAGTATTCCTTCTGTATGTTGCGGGGCACCATGTACCGCCTGCTGCAACTGCTGCTGCACAGCAGTAGGGGGAGTGCCCCGAAGTAAGGCAGTGGTGGTGGGGAACCTGATCATGACCGCCCCATCATCGGTCAGCCGCCACATTAGTTTGTGTTCTACATTCACTTGGTTATTCCGTCTACGCCAGCCAGTTTCGCCCTCCTCATATAGGGGGACCGCCCGGTTCAGACCGCCCACTGTACCTACCCGGTTTGCTGGGAAATCCGCGAGACCGCGCGTCTTCTCCCACACATGCGGCAGCGGAGTGATTCGACTGCCTGTCGGTGGGAAAAATCACAGTATTTTACCCGCGCGAGGCCCCCGGTTCGCCGCTCTTTAGTCTCAATGCCCTTCACCCGAGCCGCAACCTGAGGAGACTGCTGCTCTGTGTTGGAGGCTTGGGTGAGCGGCGCCGTCTCGCCTTCAGCTAGCACGGCACCCGTTGGTCTCGTCACAAGAGTCGATCGTCGGTCGGGGAGTGTCGTCGTAGTTCTTGTTCCGCCACACGTTCCATGATGATTGTCGAGTGCCGCCGTCCGCGATGGCACCCCTATGGCCACAAGTCGGGGTTAGAAGGGCCATTGTGGGAGACAAAGCGAGCGAGAGAGAAGGATCGACGTGATGTCTATTACAGCACCCCGGCGGCTACAAGCAGGCCTTGGGGTTGGGGTTCGAAGAGCCTTTGTGGGAGACAAGAGCGACATTAGCGGCTCGATGTGGTATCCGGTGTAGCCGTCCGGAGGAACGAATGGATCTCTATGGGACGTGGACCTAGGAATTGGAGCGGCGTGTCTTCCCCTTATCCTTCCTTCCTTCCTTCCTCTGTACCTCTTTTCGTCATAGGTATCATAGCTGTTGCAGGAATCCCCCCCCCCCCCGGCCCCCAACCAGACCTGAAACTAGGATCACCGCTTGTGTGCTGCATCGCCTTCTGTACATGGTGGTGGTGAAAGGGCATCCCCTGCCCCCCCCCCCGCGAGAAAGTAGTGGAAGGCGTTTTATACCTAT